TCTAGAGGGACGAGGCAATGGGACTTCCTGAACACAGATCGAGGGCCTGAAAATACTCCAAACACTACCCATCCCAATATAATCCATACCACTTAACAAAGGATCCCTAACTTTTGGAAACGCAACAAAGTAGGGTTGAGGGCTTCCGCACCGCGTTAATTCACAGGAGTTGGAAATTTCAGAGGAGTTGGTGTGTCTATCTCACCAATGAAGTTTCATGTGCAATCCCCATAAACCATTTGAAGGGACCCTTGAGCCCATGAAGCCCATTGAAAGGGGCCCACAATAGTTGAAGTTTTTCAAGTCGCTCCTGTTGGAAAGGCTTCAGCTTCGGGAAGTACGGGAGCTTTGACATGAGTAGTACTTGATTTGGGGATAGTATGGTACCCAATATTGAGTAAGATTATATCCTCCTTTTGGGGTATAGTATTTTTATATCAGGAATATAATCTTACTAGCTTCAACCACCAAAAAAAGTATTCACATGATGCTCTTTTCCGGGAGGTGCCTGTATCCGGGATGCTTAGTTTTACTGGGTAGGCCCCTGGGATATTTAATATATTTTAATATTTTCCCTAACGGCTTTAATAAGGGACCCTATATACTAATATTTTTCCAAGGTTTTTAGGTGCCAACCCAGTTTAGGGTGAACAATTTGCGGCGTCTCGTTTGAAGGGGCAACTTACAAGCAGGGATCATATGTTGAAAGGCACCCCGTTGGCGATCTTTGTTGTGTTTGAGGTTCACGTTTGAAGTGCCTGCCTTTTAAGTTTAGTCCTGAATCAGAACCAGGGCCTGTCCTGACTGGTGAAACATTGAATGGGAATGGCAATTGCTGTACTCCCTAAAGAAGGAGTCTCACATTCCCTATAGCCCGTGGCCCCCCCCTACTAACCACCAGTGAGTCGGAAGGTTTTCACATGTTGCCCTCATCCTCTGTAGCTTAGTCCTGGATTTTCCGCGAGACAACCACAAATGCAGCTTTCCAGCTGGAGTTCGGCTAGGGGGATTCAAAGCAAAGGCACTGCAGGGACCAACAATCCCTAAACCCTAACCCTTCAAAAGCCCTAAACCCTATATAGGCCCATTACAGTAGTTTCCATTTACTTCTCCTTTATCCCTATATAGCCCCATTCTAGTTAGTAAGCATAAGAGTTGAGCAACCATCATGTTGCTATCTGAGCGTGAGGGCTCCTTAAGGATCCTTGATCTTTGTGGTGAGTCTGGAGGGGACCACTTTTTTGTGGTGTCTTTCTGGTGAACGAAGGTAAACTTAGAGGTCGTGGAAGACGGAGATAGTACTAATACTCATAGTAACAATACTAATAATAGTACGAGACAGAAATAATGAAATCCCGCACATCAAGCTCGGCTTGGCACATGTAGTTCGACCTTTTCTGACATTTCCACAGGCACTAGACTGGACCCAAGACAGAGTAATTCCAGATTATGATCCAAGTGCGATTCTGGGGTACATCGTTCAACCTAGCCAAAAGATCAAGTTTCTACAGTGCTGTTTTCTGGGCAGCCCCCTGTCAGCCCCTTCTGAGACCCCCAATCAAGGCCCTGAACCTTAAAACCAAAGTCTACAACCCCGAACCCTTCGCCCCAAACCCTACATAGGCCTTGAGCCCTAAGCCCTGATTCCTACATCCTACACGCTGAACTCTAGACCCTTAGATCCTAAACCCTAAGCCCTAAACCCTAAACCCTGACCTAAGCAATAAACAACTCAGGACAAAGAGCCAGCCGGGCACTGGCCAGACATGTTTCGATCAGCGCTGCTAGGCTACCGGAGCTTCCACCCCCAAGGGGTCGGATGCTGAGTAGACTCCCGGCTGAAAGTCTGCAGGATTCCGGGCTTAGAAGTAAGTAAGCCAGGTTCAGGACTTAGCGCTGAGGATTTTGGATTGAGAGCTTCCTTTTGGAGATTTAGGGCTTTGGGATGTAAGGTTTAGGACTTAGGTTTTGGAACTATATGGCGGAAGTCTCTGGTGTGCAGGGTTAGAGTTAGCTTGATGACGCAGCCCTTGAAACTTTAACCCTAAGTTCATGAGCATGCCTGGTGGGAAAACTTCACGAAAGCCTAGGCCTGAGCGGGAGCATCTCCATGCAGCTTCCGGCCACGCAGACCATGGAGGACTGCCATCATGTCGGTTGGCTTTAACACGCTTAAATTAAGTTAGTAGTAACGAAATCCTATTTCTACCATGTACCCATATCATGGTAACTTAATGTGAACTATAGTCTGATTAATATACTTAAAGGGGGTATATAGGGGATTATATAGAGACTACTATAGGGCTTAATAAGGGGGATACTAGGAGTTTAGACTATGGCTCATCTAATTCCTTAGCAGTCGCCCAATCATGTCCTTGGTCCCCAATCCAGTATCATGCTGAAGGTTTTGGGCGCGGGATGCTCATCTTACTGGCGGTTAGTAGGGCCTTGGGAAAATATTATATAAGGATTATCTTCCCTTAAATTTCCTACTAGCCACCGGTAGGTAATACGGGGAATTCTGAACACTAGACGCCTCACAGCTGGAAGACCGAGACTTGAAGCTCCTCAGGCACTTCCACTTTACTCTCTCAACCGCACCGTGTGAGCTTATCAAAGGCGAGTCTTCTCTTTTGGTTACCACCTAGTAAGAAGAAGAAATCATTGCCAAACCATGTTGAGGACCCCAGACCAGGAACCCTTGCTCCCCAAACTCATTCACAAGCTGTCTTGGAGATGCATAAAAGCATGGGGCCTTGCTCACAAAGTCGTGAGAAACTACACGTCACAAGGTCCAGCGATTTCTTTGCTTCCTGCAGTTGGAAGGACTGTGTTGGGGAAACTCCTTTAGTCCGTCTTCAGCGGATGCTTCCGGCTGAAAGTGGTTCTGTGGTGCTGTGCCTGGGCTGGAGGGGCGGGATCCAAGAGGTGTAAGTTGCCTGCTGCCCTCCTCCTACTACTACTACTACTACTACTACGACCACCACCACCACCACCACCACCACCACCACCACCACCACCACCACCACCACCACCACCACCACATTGTTGTTTCTCCTGCTGTGATGATGCCTACTAGATGATGCCTACTACGACTATTTCTGCAGCAGCTACCTTTCCCGTGGCTTTGACTTTCCAAGGCTATCACAGCCATTCCTTTGGTTGCCACAGCTGCTCCATGTTTTCATGATTCCCGCAGCACCCTGAGCTTCAGGGTCTTATAAGACCCGACGCCAAGTAAGTCTCTCAGCAGATGAGAGCGCCCCTCAGAAAGGGTTCCGGGCTGGGTCTTGGAGCAGAATGCGATGTCGTTGGGGATAATTGCTGGGATCATTCTGTCTCTAGCATGATCATTTCTTCGCTTTAGTGTTCTGAAACTGCCTTGGGTGGTTTTGTCGGGCTCGACTACTGTAGCTTCTACCCTGGACGAACTGAAAGTAGGGCCGTCTTTCGAAGCTTAGTCGTTCAGAAACATGGGGAACTGTGGTCTAGTGCATGAGGCTTCCCCTCAGAGAGCGTGGACCCGTAATAATCAAGAAGGTCGCCAGACAAACCCGTCTGATTTGTTGTGCGAAGAGCCGTCACAAACAATGAAGCTGCCAAATGTCACAAGGCTACCAGACGTTTCTCTGCGCATTCCCTTACCCCGTTTTTCCTGAAGCTAAGGTGCAAGCTAGAGGGCGACAACCCAGCTGGGAGCGTCAAGGATCGCGCAGCGCTCTCCATGATCAGGCAGCCACAGTGCGTCCCAAAATCAAGAGTGCTTGTCCCATGTTTTCCCTTGGTGCGGCCAGGGATTTCGAGAATTAGCATTAGTTGCACTGAGATGCTCAGGTCCACTTGTTTTTGTAATTGATTTGGGTTTCCCAAGAATATGTGACCGGACGCTCCGACAACATCTTAGGTTGGAGGGTGGATATGGACATTGAATGACCCAATCACTTGCGTGGATGCTCACCTTTGAAGCCTCTAGTGTAGATGTCTTCTGTTGATGTGTCCTACTGAAGCTCAAACCCTAGCAGGGCTCAAATTCTCCTTCCAGCAGACATGAAGCATAGGGTTTGGGTTTGGGGTTTAGGCCTAAACCCTTAGCCCGAATATAACCCCAATATAACCCTACATATATATGTAATTGTATACTTATATATATACACATATATTTACACACACACACACCTATATATATACATATTTTTTCATCCTTACAAACTCCCTGAACAGGTAAGCCCTAAGCAGCCTCAACGAAAGCAAGGCGGGCCGAGGCTACGGGCCGGATCAAACCCGGGGACACGCTGATTGAGGCGACCTCTGGAAACACCGGTATCTTGGGTTCAGGCTTAGGGTTTAGGGTTAAGAAAATAGATAGAACATGGGAGGTTATAGTGGGATAATGGAAAAGAAAACGGAAACTACTATTGATGGTCGAGGGTTTAGGGATTATAGTCTCCCTTGAGTAGATAGAATATGGGTTATATGGGGATCTTAGTATAATATACCCACAGCCATATTCTATCTACTTGAGGGGAACTATAAGCGTTTAGGGTTTAGAAGGGCTTAGGTTTTTTTGTTCAAGGGTTCAGGGGGGTTTGGGGTGTTGGGCTTACAGGAATAGGGGCTTCTATAGGAAATGCGGTTGCGTTCCCCAGCTTACAGTAGAAGTTGCTGCCAATGAAGTTTTTGGATGTTGCCCCGCTTTGATTTCTGATAGCGGTGGGCAGGGGTTGCGTTTTAGCTGTTTCAGGCCTGGTCTTGGACGCACAGGCTGTTTCAGGCGGGAGGAAGCTTATCCTTCCTCTAGCTCGACCTGCCTGTTACGCCCACCTTGTTTGTAGAGGTAGATTGAGGAATTTCCCAGCCCTAGGCACCTATTTTCAGGAATTCTGCACTTGACGCGGCAAGGCCTAGCCAGGCGCCTGCTAAGTATCGCTTCTTGCTTTGCCCGTGGTAATTCCAGATCCTGAATTGTGAATCCTTACATAAGCCCTACAACAGAAGCTGAGGTATTGCGTTGGCTGCTATCAGCGCTGTGGCTGGGGTTTCTGGTTCTGGGGTGTTAGGTGGCGGGATGGGGCTCCTCGGGAGGAAGGGTTGCAGGCACTCTCAGTGACAGGGTTAATTTTGAGTGCTCTAAGCTGGGGACGGGCAGAAGCAAGTCTTCACTGCATTTTGGAGAAGAGCGTAACAGTCAAGTGTTATGACCAGCTTCACATATCATTTCAGCATTGACAGACAGTGACAGACATGATACGAATGCCGCCAGCAGTACAGCACTGCAAGAGAGATCACTGAGGAGAAGAGCAGGAGGACGTGCAATCACAAATCCTCAATATTCGTGCCAGAGCTGGATCTTTCTGAAAGTACCAGATGTTTTCATTCTGCTTTGAGCAGCTCTTTTGTTGCGCCTGCTCACTTTGCGAGCACCATGAAAAGATGGACGTCCTGGCTGACGGGCCACGTGATGCTAATATGCTGAAGACTAGACTTGAACGCGCAGGTCTTCAAGCCCGACCTTCAGCCCTAAAACTCTCCACCCTTGACCCGCACACCCTAGACTCCTAGACCAGACAATCCCTAATATGTCGGGTGCCCAGGCTACCCTGACCTTTTTAAACCCTCAGGTGCCATCAAGGGATATAAGTTGAAGCTGATCATGCCTGAGAACATGAGCCTCGAGAGGCCTTTGCCGGTGCCATCACAGGGGTATGAAGTTGGATTTATGAAGTTTTGCGCCGATGTAGAATCGCGCCGGTCATTTAGAGGAGCCTGGATGGGCTCCGATAGTGTACCTATCCCCAAGACTACCCACAAACCTGATTCAAGTACTTCTTGTGCCCCCATAGCGTTTTGCCCTCAATTGCTTCACGGCCATCCCACAACTAACAAACAAGCAAATGAGGAGCACTCAAGCATATATACTGCTCCCAGACTGTTCAGCTTAGAAGCCCCTCAACTCTAGAAGCCCAAAAACACATCCTTGTAACCCTATGACCTATAGTCTAAATGTTATAAAGGGATGTTATAAAGGGAATTCTATAGGGGAGTATGGCAGGGGTTATTAAGGGGGCTACTAGGAGTTTAGACTATAGCTGATATGGGTAGTTGCTTCTCCCTCTCTGCACCTTCTCCGACCTAAACCCCTAAACTAGGTGAAATGATTAGCTCTCCCTGGGGCTTGAGGCGACTGAAGGGTGGTGTTGCGTGTGCCGAAGGTAGGTGAAACTGTGGCCAAAACCATTGAACACAAACCAAAAGGCCAGTTCAATACGTACGTTTAGGCTAGAATTCACGTACACCTTGACTGAAGCATTAGAGTCGCTACGCTAAGCCACATACCCTGTAGAGTGAGGCGCACAAGCATGGCAGTCTATGGCGCCGAGCTGATCTTGGTGTCCACAGGGGCCATGGAGGAAGTGGCCTGGAAGCACTGGATACATCTTGGCTGTGCGTAGGGAGTAGGGTTTAGGGGTTATATAGATGCATGCAAGCCTGTTGCAAAAGGGGTACAAAGGGATATTACCCCAACAATGGAGTCTCAAATGGAAGAGACAATGGAATATGAAATGGAACCTGGGATTCTTAGGGGTTCTAGAGATTGAAAAGTGTTATGACTAATGTGCCTAAATCCCTGGTTTGCTGTTAGGGAGCTCGAGCTAAGTTATCAGCACATGTGTATAAGAGTTTTCTCACGATGACAATGCAATTCGATAAGAGTCTAGTTTCTCAACAGTAACCCAGAAAACGAGGTAGAAGCATGTTGCATGCGGTGTTTCAAAAAAGGCATTTTCAAACCGCTTTGGTCATACTTCAAAAACATTGAACAGGGATTTGTCCAGTGGCCGGGGATAGTGAGTGAGGTATGCCAGCTTGAGGAGTGTTGCGTAGTTTGGAGGCTCCATTCTGATCCCGGAGTTTAGGGTTTAGGGTTTAGAGGACCTACGCAAAGGCAGATTCATATTGGGTGTACGGTTGCCATCTGGAGTTTGTTTCAAGATGTTATGTGGGAATGCCGGCATGTACTGCGGCCTGGACAAGCATCAGGTAACAGCACAATGATACTGTACATATTCAGTAGCCTGCCGTTGTTGCGCAAAAAGCCTAATCCCCAAGCCTAAAACCGTAAGCCCGGAACCTTAAAGCCTAAACCCTAAAAGGAACCCTACAACTAGGCCCTAAACAGAGTACTGAGGCCAGGGACTTAGCCCAGGCCATGCAGGCCTGGAGACAACAAGTCCTTTGCATGGAGGGCATTGCTACCAAAGCATGATAGTAGTAAAAAGTCGTAATAAATGGGTGGTTTCCCAAAATTAGGGGTACTCTTTACAGGGGTTATATAGAGATATATAGGGGCATAGGGTTTTGGGTTTAGCGTTTCCCAACATTAGGGTTACCTTTTTGGGGGTCCGTAAAAAAAGGATTATAGTATATTAGGGTCTAGATTGGGGTCCCTTTCTTTTGGGAAACTGCCAAATAGTAGCAATACTACTAGTAGTAATCATCATGCTAGTAAAAATGACTTAATCACACGAGTAACACTTGAAATAGTAATAGCAATACTAGCAGAAAAACTACGAAATCAACGTTAATACAGTCATACGAACGCAGGGGATTTCAGGGATGCAGGGGCTTGGTAGGGAATGCAGCTGCCAAGGCCCCAATGTTGATTAACTAGAGTCTCGGTCCTTTATGGTGTGTACTTAGGTTATATTGGCGCGCAGTTGAGGGACTTATACGTGGCGTAAGTACAGTAGGCAATCTTGGCATTGCTGAGATTTGGGCTGTTGAAGTCCTATAGTTTGCCCCTTACTCCTTATCTCAGGAAATTTGTATGTTTTCTTTTTCGGCCAAAAATGGGCAAGATGGAAGTTTTAGGATTTGGGCATTTTGGGTCTGTAGGCTTAGCTCCTCATCAAGCACCAGGGAAAAGCTGTGGGTTCGCGCATATGGGATTTTGGGTTCATTACAGTGTTCAGAGCATTTGAGGGCTCAACCAGATACAGCCGTTCCATTATGACGACTTCCTTCTGTCCTGGTCCTGGGAGGGAGATATACACTCCCGTGTGTGCTGAGACACAAGAGATGGGCGGGGCTGGTCAATTGTTCGGTTTTGAGCTTCAGTTTGTCTCCGGGGGCCTGATCTCACCTCGCAGCTGGGGTCTTCGTCAAGCCCTAAACCCTAAACCAACATGTCCTTTTCCAAGCTTAGGGGTGATGCGTACGGGGAGTCTTTTCCTTCGGTTCCTCTGGCCAGGGCAGCTCGCAATTGTGAGCCTTGCTATGGATATAGTACTAATATAGTATTGGGAGGAGAGAAAGAGAGACAGAGAGTTTGTCTAGGGTTCGGCGTAAGTGGGCCTCTGAATGTGGCGTCTGGGTACTCGCCGGTACCGACCAGATTGACCGCGGGGCTCGGGCAGTGCCCTGACCCGCCCATGGGGGCGGGTATAGCCCGAAGAAGAAGAAGAAGAAGACAGAGAATTACGACCCTCAAGGTCCCCCTGTAATAGCTTTCCTCCTTCTCAGAAGAAGTGTCCTCCCCCAACAATGCATGCACCGCAGACGAGATTCTAGTGCCCCATCATGTTTCATGACCTCCTTACCAAGTTTGGTGTGGCCCCTTGGTCTGGGGAGGGTAGAGCTCGGAGGACAGGATGCTGAGCCTATTCTGATGGTCATTACGAATGCAGGCTCGTGGGGAGGGCATTGTGCTCGATCAGTTCGGCAATCCGGACAATCCTCAGGTGCCGCACAACAGGGCTGGCGGGACTGGGCCTAAGCTGTTACCGAAGGATCCGGAACTTGAAGACTAAGCATGAATAAAAGCTGTGGTAAGTCGTCTATGCTTTCTAAAGAACCGGTGGAAAGACCTGCCATGTACAGCAGGGCTGTGGGGACTAGGCCTAAGCTGTTACCGAAGGATCCGGAACTTCAAGACTAAGCATGAATAAAAGCTGTGGTAAGTCTTCTATGCTTTCTCAAGAACCGGTGGAAAGACCTGCCATGGTACAGCAGGGCTGTGGTGACTAGGCCTAAGCTGTTACCGAAGGATCCGGAACTTCAAGACTAAGCATGAATAAAAACTGTTGTAAGTCTTCTATGCTTCCTAAAGAACCGGTGGAAAGACCTGCCATGTCAGGGTCAAAGCCCTGTATAACCCCTATATACCCTAATCCTTGTAGTTTCCATTTTCCACTATCCTCATATTACCCCAATATCCTATAGTTGTTTCCATCTTCTTTCCATTATCCGCTATATACCCCAATGTACTATAGTATTGTGGAGTTCAGTGCATGAAGGATGTAAGGAACTTGATTTGATTTATTTCGCTGGGGAAACCATATATGTACATGCATATATACCCATCAATTTAAGTTCCTTAACAGCAACCCAGATGAGAACTTCTGGGCTTTGCATTCATAGTCCCCTCTAGGTAGATAGAATATGAGGTACATGGGGATCTTATTATAATATACCCAAAGCCATATTCTATCTACTCTAGGGGGACTATAGGTTTAGCGCAGGGCGGCTGCGGTGCAGAGGGTCAAGGGCTTGTGGTTTGCGGTTCTTTCCAGTCTGGATCACTTTTAGTTGCACATACGTAAAAACGCAGTGTATTTTGCTCTCCTCCTTTGGTGGTGGCCCAGGATGAAGAAAGCCAAGGGAGCACCGGAAGCATTAGGATGTGAAACTCGTTTTTGTGGGTCATCTGGGAATGCAGGAATGGTTAGATTATTGTGGGCATCAGCCATCTGAGCAAGCTTCCAAACGTCAGGCGCACTACGAGACAACTGGGCCGGAAGTCATGCGGCAGACGAGGGGTAAGATCACTCACTTCGCCACTCGGTCTCCAAGTGGGTGGTTGTCAAAATTATGATCCCTTTTTGGGCACCCTAAATATTATATGATAATAGGGATCCAAAAAGGGACCATCATTTTGACAACCACCCAAGTGTGACAGAGCTTCAACTCCAGTCATGTCGTGAGTTAAGGAGTTTACAGGGGTTTTCACAGTTTGTGTCCGGCGTACAAAGGTGGTCTAGTTCGGAGTTTGCAAGCATATGAGCCATGATCTACACTCCGAGTATCCTTTTTATAACCCCTATAGTAGTCCCTTATAGACTATGGCTCATCTGGTGGATTTCGGGTACACGGGACTGTGCCGCTCCATTAGATGAAGGCCCTGAGTCATACCCTCGCCCAAATCATAAACCCCCCCTCTACTGGTTTCTTAAAAGAACATTCCCCCAGTACATAGTCCCCCTTCAGTAGACTATGGCTTAGGGTATATTACAATAAGATCCCCACATGTCCCATATTCTATCTACTTAAGGGGGACGATATACTGCAATGGCACCACAGTAAAGGTATTTTTGTATGCTAATCTAAGGAGGGTAGGGAGGCCATTCTGCAGCCTGAAAGTGCCTCAACTTTGCTGCAACCTTCCAAGCCCTCTCATTTAGGGTTTAGGGGCTCATCCCTTCGCTGCTGGAATCTTCTACTGTACAAGTTAGGGTTTAGGATTAGGGTTTAGGGTTTACAGCTTCAAGTTCTTGTAGGGGTTTCCGCGCCTCGGGGCCCCTATCCGCTTATGAACCCTTGACAGCCCCATGGATGCCAAAGGCCCCCTTCAACCGCTTGTCTTCAGAAACTCGCATGTGATTTCCTAAGCCCTTAGCCTTAAGCCTGTGTGATTTCCTGACAAGCCGCCTGTAAGGTGAGCTCCATGGGTACGACAGGCACGGCAATGGGCACTTCGCGCTACTTCAAGGCGCTGTGGCTGAGGGGGGGATTTAGGGTTCAGGGCCTGGTTCCCAGAACTAGGGGGTAACATTTCGTAGTAATGAAGAATAGAAGGGAAAAGGAACAGCAGGATGGAAACTTGCATTATGTTGTGGTTATGGGGATTGGCACTAGGGTTTCCCAGAATCAAGGGTGCCACTTTCAAAAGGTCCGCCATAAAGCCGAATAATAGTATTCTGGGGGTCTATATTGGGTCAGAAATTTGGAGAAACTACCAGGGTATGTTCGAAGTGTAAGTTCCTAGTTGAGATCATCTGGGAATGCTAGACTAGCATGTCCAGGTGCCTCAAGTGCAGTATGCCATTTTTATGGCGAGGTTGGGGCATAGCTTACTGGTGCTTAGTAGGGAATATACGAATGTGAATATAATCCCTACGAAGTTTATATAATATATTCCCTTATTCTCTTCTAAGCACCAGTAATATAGTGATGGCTTTAGAACAGGAGTTTGGCTTGTAGCCAGGTCCAGCTAACGAGGACGCTCGGCGTAAGCCATGATGCATTATTATAGTCCCCCTGAAGTAGATAGAATATGGGCTCTATGGGGATCTTATGATGATATAGGTCAATTCCATCTTCTATCTACATCAGGGGGACTACAGCCTTTGTTTCCTGAGTCTTCAGGAATCCGCGTAGCGGGTTGAACAGCTCCTCTTTTGAGTTAGGGCTTAGGGCTTTAGGGTTTAGGGTTTAGAGCTTCGAGCTTAGGCTCGGCAATGGGGGTGTTCACGTATTTAGGCCCTGAAATCCTACACACGCTTGCCTATGCACTTCATATTTCCCCTGGACCAACCCTACTTTTTACAGTAGCTTGCATTTGATTGTCCGTTTTCTGTTCAGTAGGTTCTTCATTGTTCTGACCCAAAAACCTGTGTTGGGGTTCAGGAAATTAGGGGTACCCTTTTGGGGGCGACTATCAGGAGGATTATGGTATCTCGGGGATGGGGTCTTTCTGTTTATGGGAACTACTGCAGAATCCCTACTGAACGCCCAGGAGTTCAAGCCAGAAGTTCAGATCGTCGGGCTTCAACCCGCTGCAGGCCAGATATTGCAATTGCCTCCAAGTAAACTCAGACGCCCCAATAGGGTTTAGGGTCTAGGGTATGGAGTTTTGGGTTTAGGGTTGGGAGCACAAAGTGCTTCGGTCCTTGTACCAGCCTATAGGACAGGGGCATCCCAGAGTTGAGAACCTCATGAAAAAATGTTTCGGGGTTGAGGGGTCCCCTTGATGAAGGAACGCTGTGCTATGTAGGGATCCGGGCTATGCATGAAGGTGCATTCTGTACTTCCGAGGTTTTGGGCCGGAGCCATCCTAGAAAGAAGCAGGTTTTGAATGAGCCAGGGGGTGGTCCAAGTGGCCAGCGTGCAGAGCACTGTAGAAGCCTAATTGATTACCAACATTATGGTTCAAGATGCCCTGTATGATTATGGCATTAGGAAACCTCACATAGGCCTTAGATGATACTGGTAGTTATTTAAGCTCCTACACTTTGTTTAGAACATTAGGAAAAAGACGACAGGAGTTCGGTGTTGAAATAGAGGCATGTTTTGCTTCCTCATGATGAGGCTGATGAGGCGTAGATGGAATATCGCGCTGGGTATATTTTTATAAGCTCCACACATACCCCATGTTCTATCTACTGGAGGGGGACTATAGATAGATGGGCTGAAATTTGGCTGCATTGGGTGTTAGCTTCGGAGGGCGCAGTCGGGCAGCTTCAGTTTTTCTTTCAGGATGGATTCTTCCTTCATCATGCTGCAATACCTTTGCAAGCCGTCAGACGCCCCACTCTACACGTTCAACATCGTTCAGCCCTAAACCGGGCTGCTGCTAAGAAACTCAAACCAGAACAGGGAATTGGAAACCCCGTCATTTCCCATGTATCTAAGTTTAGCTTGGTAGCTTAACTTACGCTCCTTGACAGCGACCAGTAATCGTCTGGCCTTCAACTCACGGGCCCATACCATATGTTGAATCGCACGACCCCTAAAGCACAGCACACCCCTACAAACAAAAGCTGTCAACTCATGAGCCCATAGTTCACATACTAGCCTACTTGGAGAGTCAGGGGGTAGTAAGTACTACAACCCATACAGTAACCCTTTTTATCCCCATCATTAACCTACTTACTAAGTCCACCTAACCCCCCAAGTATGCTCCGGACCCACCCCGTAAAAGAAGCTGCGGCGACCAGGGGCGCAGATTCCCGGAATCCGGCGGTGGCCAAAGGCACTACATGAGATCAACGGTTTCCCAAGCTTCTAGGGCAGTTTGGGAGCAATCTCCTCCCCATAATATTAAACCCCCCCACCCCCCTAATATTAGATACTCCCATTATGTGATATATCATGGGAGCATTCTTAGGATGTAGGAAGATGCATTGATGGCTCGTTTCGAGAGGTCGCTGAAAGATTTAGCCTCCTACACAGTCAGGAATGACTGGGGTCTGCACTGTCCTGTAGGGGTCGAAATGAGTGCAATACATGGCTGCGGTAGGTCTTGCCGCACTCCCCTATCAGGGCCTATGAGAGGATGATTTCACTAATTATTCAGATTTCTACATTAGCGCTGAAGCCATTGCAACGTCTGAGATTCAGGAGCTGTTTTTCAGGAGCTTCGATGCACCGAATCTTGTTCAGATTTTCGGATATTTAGTTTCGAAAATGATCGGTACTGTGGCATTGGCCATCTGATGTCAACATGCGGATTTGGGTGGTTGTCAAAATTATGGTCCCTTTTTGGGTCCCTATTATAATACGGCACATAATATTTAGGGTGCCCGAAAAGGGACCATAATTTTGACAACCACCCACATGCTTATTGCTCTTAGCTGCGGGCATCAGCACGGTGATCAAAACAGTAACACGAGCCTTGAGTTGCCTGATTTCGGACCTTAGGGTTTAGGGTTTAGGGTTTCGGGTAGGTTTCTTGTCAGGAGTACCTGGACCCCAAAAGTATGTAAAATCATTGCCTTTATGGCTGTTATTATGGGTTAAAGGCTATTATTTTACATACTTTCTGGGTTTAGGTACTTGTGGAAGCCTGAGACTCTGAAACAAAGCATCAAGGAACCCAAGCATAAACCCAGAAGCATTTCAGATCTTTGGGTCTCTGTGAAGGAGTACCTCCCGGAGATTTTCGATGAAGCCCGACTGGACCGTGTCATTGACATCACCCAGGTGCCGCATGTTGTGCATATTCTGCCTCTGAACGTTGGCAGGATGGGAGTAATGTAGAAGGCTGCAATCCTTGTAGTGCTCTCTATGTAAACATCCTCCCAAACCCTATTTTGATCCAGTCATTTCGCTTCTTGCAGTAGGTGTAGTGTGCACACTGCAGAGGAGGAGGCTGACGAAACGGCGCGACAGCTTGCTATCCAGGACTGCTGATACACATTGGCTGGGGCTGCGTAGCCAGATGGTCCAGCTACAATGTTTGTGTGCTGTGATTCGCAGTACTTATTTGGGCTTACAAGCCACTTCAGAATCCGTACATGTTTTACGCAACCCAACCCTGAACAGACTTAGTTTTGTGCGCTTCAACTCCGCTTAAACTTTGATTTTATGCTGTCGGCGTGCCCCCTCCGCGACAGACCACAGTTGTGGCTGAGTGTAATCTTGCTCTTCAAGAAGTCTACATTATCGACTTACCAGCAGCAAACTGGCTGAATAAAGTTCGTTGTTTATCCCCAACGCTTGTCCTGCTTTTGGAAGCATTTATGAGATGTAGTCACGATTGATAGGTACCCGGGTGCAAGGTTCAGGTTCTGTGGCAATTGAGGGTGTTCAGAGTATAGGGGGAATCGCTATCATCTGACAGCCTCATGAACCCTGAAACCAGCGCCTCCAAGTAGAAGGTGGGGTACAGGACGGATTTCCCCTTTTGGGGAATTCCAGGGAATGAAATTAGGGTAATATGGGGTTATATAGGGATAATGGAAAATTAAATGAAAACTACTGTGGCCCCCCAGCAACACTCCAGAAGATGCAAGCTGAGTGAATGTGGCATCCTCAACCACAAGTGCCAGCTCTCGTAAACCAACCTTATACATCCTAAACCTGAGCCTTCAGCCTAAGCCCGAACCCTAGATCGCTAGGCCTAGACAAGCCCCTAAACCCCAAGGCTTAAGCCCAAAACCCTATATTTCAGTAGATAGAATATGGCTTTGGGCATATTAAAACAAGATCCCCATGTACCCCATATTCTATCTACTTAAGTGGGACTATAGACCCTGACCCCAGACAAGCTAGAGGAGGGCATCTTTGCTGGGGTCAGCAGTGGGGGTGCGGTCTCTGCAGCTCTGAAGATTGCCCAGGAGGCCGAGGGTTTAGGGTTTAGGGCGCCCCTCGATAATGGGTTTAGGGCTTAGGGTAAGGGAGCCTTGATAATTATCAGCAATGCAGAATCAAATGGAAAGGAACATGACGCATGAAATGGAAACTGGGATTATGTAGGGGCTTAGAGGGCTGGCTTCAAAATCCTGCATCACCTTGTAGCACACGCACCCAGAATTCCCACAGTTGAGGGCACTTCGGGTCATGCAGGTTTCGAGGAACAAGAAAATGTGCAGGAGCAGTTGTGGAGTGTGAGGGGTGTTGGGTTCAGGCCGCATAGGGTTTACGGTTAAGGGTCATGTGACAACAGGGTGGAACATGAAAACCTGGGTTACGAATGCTCACATGCACTGGGTAATTCAGAAGGTCCATAGAGGTATAGGGGTTATTTCATATGCAGCCACTTTAGTGCGATGATAGGATGTCACAATGTGGCTCTTTCAAGGTCATTACCATACTTCGAGAAGGCACCATAGGCTTCGGGATGGCTAGTCTGTCATTATAAACGTTTCTTGTTCAGGAAGGTTTTAGCAAGTTGGTACCCACAATTAATCCTCAAGCCTCTCTTGCCCAGTTGATCCAGAATCCAAGGCTTCAACAACGTAATTAAATCCCAGCCTCGGGGGGCCGGGGTCTAGTCGTGCGCATCTGAACCCACAAAACTCTAAACTGTTAAAGACGGGAGGCCCAACACCATCAAGCGCATCCATCTGTTATTAACGCATACTAAATTAAAGCGTGTTCGCACTAGAGACGGGAAATCTACAGGATGCCGTCTGCTTAAAATAAAGTAGCAATCGTTTTTAACTCCAGGCTCCAATAGCGAGTCAGATTGCATCCTCCAATTGAGTATGGTATTTTCTAGATTTACTTGTCCAGCCACCCAAAAGCTACTCAAGTGCCTTGGTCCTCAGATGTCCTCGAAGGCCCCGGTGGTACTGTTAGTGCTCCTGCCTCAGGTGCACTTTCCAAGCACTCCCCAGTGCATCATGATCCACCAGGATAGGAGCCAATATCCCATAATGTTCTTATACTCACTGCATATACCTAGAGCCATCTAGAGTCCTCGAGGGCATTGTGCGTTGAAGCCGCCAGTTCTAAACAGCAATTTCAGGCACCCGGCCGCGTGGTGGTGTGCATCGTCTGTGACCGCGGTGATCGTTACTTGAGCACTGGAGTCTTTGCGCCGCCGCCTCCGCTCCACCATAGCTCCTGAGGCTCAGAGTTTGGAGTTGAAAGATGGGTCAATCAGTATATTACCCCAATAATGGAGAATCAAATGGAAAAGAAAATGGAAAATGAAATGGAAACTAGGGAATATATAGGGATTATTAGGGCTTATAGTCCCCCTTAAGTAGATAGAATATGGGGGTTGTATTGGGGTAATGGAAAAGAAAATGGAAACTACGACTTAGGGTTTAGGGTTTAGGGTCCCCCTTAAGTAGATAGAATATGGCTTTGGGTATATTTGGTTTCTATGATCAGATCAAGCTTGCGGTTCAGGATTTAGGTGCTTGAGAGTTCCGCATTTCAGTTTGAAAAACGATGATTGCAGCGCAAGCCGCCCAGGCCCTGTACTGTTCAGAAGGTTCGATAGCTGGCGATGTAGGGCTCAGTGGTTCCTATGCTATGCAGGGGAAAGATGAGAGAACGCCGGCTTCTTTACCCAGAGCCCTCAAAATCCCAATCCTTCTGACTTCAGCTTCCGCGCCGTTGTCTAGGCGTGTCCTCATTTATTGTTACCTGGACCCCAAGAGTATATAAAATAATGGTCTTCATGGATGTTATCATGGGTTAAGGGCTATTTGCTTACATACTTTTAGGATTTATGTCGGGCCCTACTATGAGCTGTCTATGGCGGCAACTGCCAACATCTTGTCTGCTTGCTGTCGTCGAATCTATACATGGTAGCTTACATAAATAGGGGCTCCTAATGTAGTCGGATATTACAGTCCTTACTACAGGGATCTCCCATAAGGTACCTGTAAATTTGGGAAGCCCCCAACAGCGTGGTCCGAACTAGTCGAGAGGGTGGCCACACCTGGTGTGGTGGGCTTTTCCCCCGTAGGTGCCTCATCCACCTTCCGGCCCGATCTCAAAATTCGTGTATGGGAGATTTCAAGACTAGTAGGGTTCCCGTACACATCCTGAGTGTTAGAGGGGCCCACTGTTTTAAGACCTCAGCCTCCCGAATCAGTGGCCGAACTTATTTGAATCGCAGTCAAAATTACCGTTTACTTCGTCTAGGGGGTAGCTGTTGCGCAAGAATTCCCAAGATCGGTCGGGGAAGTCCTGAAACGATTTGCTTCATTCATCTAGGCTATAGGGTTGCGAGAAGATCCCCCGGCACCGTGGAGATCGATAGGGGATGCCCTAACTCAAGAACTGAGGGAGGCCAAACAAGTACATTAATGCCACCACATATACGTCTGACATCGCCTGACTGTAGCAGGGTCCTCATAGTGCGGGCACCAAAAAAAGGACCTGAGTTTTAAGAAGCCCTGAGCTCCAATCCCCTGGACCCTGCACTCCCTGCATGCTGGAATTTGCTGGGCGGGCGGGAATAGGGTGTTCATTCCGGTTGTTGGTGAGTGTAAACAGGTGTCCTTAGTACGTATTTGGTGTCCACAATGGGAACAATCCTAGCATACATTAGCCGCTTAGCCCTATGCACGGTAAGACCTAAAACTTTGTAGAAACCCTCTAAAGGCACCTTAAGCCCGAAGCCTTGGAAGCCCCCAGTTGAGGCTGCATCTCTGCCAACCTGGACCTAACACTGCGAAGCTACCAGCGAAATCTCAAGGATCCTGTGACCCAAAGAAAACCTTCAAGGCTTACTAAATGGGTGTTCATGTCAGGAAAGTCCATGCTTTAGGTACTGTTTGGCCCAACTTGAATAAGATCTTGTTCAACGCCCAGGTTTGGTCATTAGGATTTGACATTTTCGACTTCAGGTGTTGGGAGCTTTTGCGCGTAGGGTATGGGGAATTTGGATAGAGTGCGAGGTCTACTGCGCTGGGTAGCGTGTTTGGTAATGTCCTGGTTTACTCACTACTTACCCCTGGTTTGCATCGAATGTAGAAGCCTGTATGCTCCCAATAACAAAGTCGTTCTTCATTGTCCTCTTTATCCCTGCTAAGAAGAGTTATGACTGACGGCCTGCCCGGTCTGGAAGATGGCGGACAGCCCGCGGTGTAAGCAGTGTGGTTCAATATCCCACATGAGGTGCACAGACACATGTAGCTTGGGGTAGCATAATTTGCATTGGATTCATCATGAGGATGCCAACCAGGAAACAAAAAATGCATCTGGCCCCTGACTGGGCAAGGTTTTCTTTTGGCTACATGTTGCTGCTTGCTAAAAGCGGGGAGTTCTTTCTTCGCCTCAGAACTACGCCCCCATACCCGAAGCCCGACAAAAACGTAGACAGTGTTGAGACATCCTCACATGTCAGCTAAGCACAGGATGCTTGCGGAATGCGACTAACTCAGGCTTTTGTAGCAGGATGCCCAAACCCATCAATCAACCCGAAGCCCGGAACGGACGCAACATCAAGATCCCCACATCCTCCACCGCACAAGCTGTGCCCCAAAGCCATAATTCGCCACGTCCAACCCTGACGGGATACTTTTGGGGCTGCAAAGCAAGCCATGATGGCTCCTAGTCAGCAGATGAACAAAGCAGTGCACTACAGCGCCCAGTGCGGTCTTTGGGAAGCATGACCCACTTCCAGAAACTTCCCATGTATTTGTTTGCCTTGTCCGGTGCCAAGTCGAGGATCAGCATGCACCCATCTTTGCACTTTTTACGGCACCCTGGTGCCCAGAGCCTTGGCCTTGTCTACCCATACTTTTGGGGGAGCTAAAGAGCCCAGGAATCTCCAAAACAATAGAGGAGTTGTTGCCAGCAAGAAAGACAGCTGCTGCCCCCAAATCCTATCATGAAGACATTCGCCCTTTCAATCTATGCTACTTTGAGAGGTGCCTACCGTTTTGTCCGGGCATGTTGGTAGGGGCTTCCGCATTTTTGCCTAAGGTTTGGGTTCACGGCTGCCTTGAGGGTGTACGGCTGGAAGCAGGGATGACTCTGCAGCAGTCATTTCTCAAGGGCTGAACCTATCAAGCTGCATCTTCAGGGGTTTGATCCAGTTTGGACCCTCGAGGTTGGGTGAAGTCATCCCTTTGGTCTGCCTGTCTCACTTGAAGATGCTGAGCACTTGCGCCTTCAACCTACCAATTCAGCTTGTACCAAAAAAAGCGAGTTCCAATGCAAGAATCGATCCTAAACCTTGAGCATGACTCCTTGCACTAAAAGTCTGGCTTTACTAGTATTTTAATGCCTTTACCTTTAAGAGCCCCAACTCTTGCTTCCCAATCATTCACTGGCCGGAGCCCGTACACCCTCGGATTAGCGCTTGTCGTGCCTAGAGCCCGGATCGATGCACCCTAAAGCCTAAGCTCTAAGCCC